ATGCCTGTAAAGCGGTCGACCAGGGGCACAGCCCCACAAATACACAGATGTGTGATCCCATGGATGGAAAGTGACGTCAACCAACGGGGCACAATCGCACACATGCACAAACCAGTCAAGAACGCCCCAACTGGTCCAAAATTCCTTGTTCAGGAGTTTTCCCTTTTCTTTGTCACTTGTTCAGCGATATTCCCACATTTTCTCTGCCCCCGTCATTTATTCAGCGACATTTAAAGCATCACGATAAACTCAGCGTCTGGGACCACCGAAGAGCAGGCTGGCTGGGCAAAAAAACAACACAGCCCCATGCTGAGGAAAGATACATCCCAGCATGTTTCCTGGGGCCCAAACATCTGAACAGCGCGGCCCAGAACACAGTTCTGCGACCGGTAAATCAGACTCTACCCATAGCTGGAAAGAGACATCAGCATATGGGATCGAATCTGGACCGAAGTGACTTGATGAAACGGCTAGCAGCACAGCCAGCATGTATGTTTTCTCCACAGCAATATTTCAGCTGTGGATGACTGGTGAATAAGCAAACACATGCAGCCTTAGTATGGGGTAGTCCACCCTGGAAAGAGCCATCAGATGTGGGCCCAAACTTTCGGCCATGCATGGTTCCTTTTTAGCCTTTTTCAGGCCAGCCACCTCTTAGCTGAGAGCGAGTGGCTTTGAGGCTGGATACACGCCCAAACCGGGTAGTATCCTTATTCAGGACAAATGGCCCCACCAGGTATTGAGAGCCGCGGCCAACACTGGTTAAGCAGCTTTTACTGAAGTACTCTTGCTGCATAGGGTGTCGTTCAGTCGTCACCAAGCTCCCCTTGAGGCAAAGCTTCTCTCAACTTTCATGACCAGCCTTCTATATTACCAAAACAGCAAGCACTTGACTAGTTTTTGTTCTTGTTTTTGATTTTTTCTTTTTCTAACCGGCGGTGGCATACTCGGGCCACAGTCAGCAGGCGTGTCAGACGTGAGTCCCTCGCCAGCTGAATCGTAAGTGACTCACCCAGTGAAACGGTGGTTATTATGCAGCTGCGCGAACAAGGCCTTTTTTACGAGTTTTTGATTGTTTTTGCGGTATTGGGGACCGCATTCATCCTCCATTCATCCTGCATTCCCACGAAAGGCACCGGGCTCGGTGAAACAAGAACCGCCAAGCTGCACACATGCGTGCATGTGCAGTGTGCTGCAATGTTTTGTATGATTTTATGAAGTTTTGTGGGGTTTAGTACCCCCATTCATCAGGTATTCCCATGAAAGGATGCACAATGGAAAAGCAATGAAAATCAATCTGTTGGGTCTGGAGTACCAAGCCGTGAGCCCGGCCATTTTCCCCTGGCACTTTTCCGAAGAAGACAACGACTGTGCGTAGAGCGCAAGGGCGGTACGGCTTCAAATGCGAGCTGGTCGACGAGCGACGGCGATGGCTGTGAAATTGGTCACAGGCCTTCAGACATATGTTAGGATGTCCCGCTATTGGGTACGCGCCGAAAGTATTTTGATTTCACCAAAGGAACAGTATTTCTCTGTATTGCCAAAGACCTTTCACCCGGTCTTTGTAAAACTGCTCACACACGTACACCTCGTCAACCTTCAATGAATTCCACATTTCGTGGAGGATGATGTGCTTTTTGGAGAATGCCACATGCTGGCGCTGCAGCGGTGGCTCAGTTATTATGGCATGCTAAATTTCCAGGAGTCCCCGAGTGGACCCACGAGTTTCAAATCTCGTCCATGGTGCTGTTGGGATTGTTGTGCAATTCTTCTGTGGTCTCAAGGCGTGCTATGGTCTTCATGGAGGTCGGTGAATACAGAGCTCTTGACTAAGGTCAGCAGCTCCCGTACTGTGGCTCAGTGTGTACAGATGGCCATCGAGCATGCGAATATCCCTTTAATAATGGAGCGGAAAATGTTTGCACAAGCTACCGCTACTGCCACTCACAGTTGGAGATTCCGCCTTATCGTTTTCAGCCATGCCAATATCAAAAGCAGCCAGATTGTGAAATTTGAGGAAACTAACTCCAGGGTAGTTTTTGCAACTTCCACAATCTATCTGAAGTGCCTGAAAGCAATCAGTCACTGCTGAGCACCACATAGCCGATGCAACGGGGAAATGGGAAAATTTTCCATCTTACGGCTGTGTTAGCGATCTGGAGCTCTGCAGTGACGGGAGGTTGCACACATGCTTCAATAGCAAGAAAAGGGCTGAATAACACTTTTTGCGAAAACACATGAAATGTGTTTCATCAATGTTCTGCAGGCTAAGAACACAAAATATCCCAAACCCCTAAACTCTTTGCACATTTGATCACGTGCTTTTGGCCCTTATTCTCCTAGTGCTTGCGATATATCGTGCACCGTATCCGCCACTTCACCTCCGCCAGAAAGCCCGTTGCGCGCAGAGCCGCAATAAACCCCGGCCGCGCCAGGCGTGCGGGCAGCACACAGGCTTACAAATGGAGCATAAATACAAATCTACTGTGCAATGCTATTGGGCGCTCTGAAATATAGGCGCCATATGCTACAGCTGAATATTAAAACAGGACTTTTACGTATTTGGGCAAATGGATTGCGCAATTCCTTACAGACAGACTGTCGCAAGCCAACCTCGGATCCCTTTATAGCACCTCCCATCTTGCCAAACATCGATTTCAGCGCCTCAACGCCGTATCCTAGCGATAAAGGTCTGTATCCTCACTCCCAAGCGACACTTTACCGTCAGGCGTCGCAGAATCGCCGCAGCTTCCTCCCTTAAATGCGCGGCAATTTTCTTTCATTACGAACATTTGCGCCACAAGGTTAAAAAGGGATGATTTGCTAGTAAATGGCAAAAAAGAAATGCAATCCACGTTAACGATGCTGTGGATGGTTTCACGCCAGTGGCCACGACCACCGGCGAACGAGCAGGGTCCACAGGCGCGGCGATAGCGCCCCGGGGCCCATGGATGCCGACGCTCAGGAGGTCCGCCGCCGGCGCGTCCTGAAGTTCGGCGACGTTATCCTCTTCAACTGCGTCGAGTTCCAGGGCTTCGTGTCAGGCGACACGACTCTCGCCCCGCAGGTGAGTTGCCAAAGGGACCAAAGGGCGAGTCGCGACACCCCACTCCCTCTACTGAGGGCTGGGGTTGTCCCTTTGTCTCTTATGTTTCATTGCGCCCGTTGAGGTGTGAGTTGCAGCCGAACAGGAACGTCTCGTGGTTCAGGAAAAAAGTTGGTCCCGTTCCGATTATCGGCCGCCAAACAAACCGGGCAAAGGCTCTGTGATGCAGTGTTCTCAACACCAAGGAACAAAGGGCCAGATAACGCGTTTTCAAACGTGTACAAAGTTTAGGGGTTTGGTATGCTTCCGTGTTTTTAGCGCTCAGAACGTTGATGAAATGTGCTCGCGAAAAGTGTTATTTGGTCTTCTTTTTGCTATCGGAAAGAGCTTGCTGACGCAGAATGCTTTGTGGGGGTGGAGGGCTTGGGTGACGCGTTGAGTTGAGAGCGGTGTGCCGGCTCGCTGGCGAGTGGGCCGGAAGGGGGCCGCAAGGGGTCGTGCCCCGCAGTGAGGGAGATTGTCGCGTGGGTCAGCGAGGTAGCGAAGTGCCAATCAAACAAAAAGATTTTGGGGCCAGCAAATTGTGTTTTAAGCAATAACCAGACAAGGCCAGCCCTACAATATACTTCCGAAGTATTACCTTCAGCAATTCAGAGCTTAATTTTCAATGCAGTCACCTTGCGAACTAACAAGTGGTTTGACATGGGAAATTATTGGCTCAGTTGTAGTTGAGCACGATGAGAAAATGTGCGAAATGAGAAAGCTGCTGGCAGCGTATGGAAGATGAGAGGAGGGCGCGGGCAGGAATTGACGCGAAACGCGTCATTTCAGCAGGGGGCTGCGACATCCTCTAGTAAAATTATTGGCGCAGAAGAATTCTGCCAACATCGAAGTTTTGTGCCAGCGTTTCCTGGAGGGTGGTTGCGTGGTTGATTGTTGTTGTGGTCGAGTTTTGTACGTTTGGGTTTGTACTTGTGAAGATCGGGCGCCCCAAAGAGCACCAAATGTCTTTGCACCCCGTTTTGTTGCCCATACGCCCACAAGGCTTGTGGCACAAGTAACCTGGCATCTTGGCAACAACCCTTGGCACAATTACTAGTAAGAATTGACCGCTGTATACGATTTAGCTCCACACTCACTTATGTATCTCTCTAAATCGCTTCAAATTACGTGTTAACGTTGTAAGCGGTGAGAGTGGAACAAATCAAGTCAACTCATATTTCTCCCCAACAATTGTCGCCGTTGAATGTGCTGCCCAACACGATTGGCCTGCGGAACGTCACGGGAAACCACGAGAGGCTTAGGGAGGCGGCCGTTGGGATCAAAATATCGAAAGGCCGATGTTCACGCGCCTTGCAACATCTTTTGTGAAAGGGAATTGCTAATTTGATGAGAACTGAAATCAAATAATTGCCAACAGAAATGAAACAGTCGGCTGAAAGGACCTGGCTTTCAATTTCAGTACTGTGGCCCTCTGATGACGCCCGAGTCTCTCCTTGAAGCGACAAGTAAAAAACCTAGCATACACTTTGCGTTAAGGGGTTAAGAAACCCAAGCTCTATCCGCAAAAATGATGGCCTTGGGTTCCAGCAAGAATACAGGGCAAACCCGAAGGCATAAAATTACTCCCTGCATCAAATCGGTGACTGCTTGCACGAAAACGGTGACTGCTTGCACCAAGTCACGTGCACATCATGTCCAACTCCGTCAAAACTAACCTAACCTAAACCCTAAACCCTAAACCTGTACCTGTCCTAACCCTAACCCTAAAACTCACCCTGAACTAAACCTAACCCTAAAACTGAGGTTAGGACAAAGTGTGCACGTGACTTGGTGCAAGCAGTCACCGATTTTGGTGCAGGCAGTAATATTATTTCAATCCCGAGGACGTTACCTGCGAAACCATCCAGAGGACACGGCAACCGTCCACACGGCATTGTGCATCCCTTGGTAGGTGCGCGTGGAGGCTTTGACCGAGGGCGTCGAAGCGCCGCCAAACCTCAGCGACTGCCGCTTCGAGGTGCGCCAGCGCTACCAGTACAGCGCTCGGCGCGCCTACGCGCGGGAGCTCGCCAAGCACGGGCACGGATCGGAGGCGGAGGATGGGGGCGCGGGGGGCCTGCCCTCCTGGGAGGGCGCCGGCGGCCAGGAGGACGATGATCACCGAGGTATGGTGTCCTTGCCTGCCTCTGTTGCAAATTGATAGAAACACAGCCCTTGAAGGGCAAGGGCATTTTGTTGGCCCTTGCACATGCCATTGGAGGTGAAACATTTCGGATGTGTCCCGCGTTGCGCACCCTGCTGAGGCACTTTGGTTCAAAACTGCCTTCTCGGACGCATCGCGGCCCTTGCACCTGGCAAGACGAAGTTTGTTGTGCTGCATTTGCCCTCTGAAGGCGAAGTGGGGCACTGCGCCTTGGAAGGGATGGCGACCATACAGGCGTCCAAAACATTTGTCCGTCACACATAACCTAAGCATTTGCATGTCCCTCCGTACAGTTCTCCACTCGCAATTCATCTGGATTCTATACCAACGGTGGTCGAAGACCTGGGAACACGATCATGGGCGTTTTTGCAACATGCTTTTTGGCAGAGGGCATATCACACAGTGGGTGCCCACCACCTGAGCAGGTCTTCCTGTGAGACGGTAATCAGCATCATCCATAACATTTTGTCTTTGCCCACAGGTGGGGATCATCAAGTGGTGCGAAGGAAACCCAGTGGATTGGCAGCAAGGCGGCCGAATGCACAGGCAGTCAAGCGGCTACAGGCGCTTCAGGACGCAACGAAGAAGGAGCGGAAGGTGAACGATGAGGAATTTCTCAGGTGATTTCGAGGTGGATTCCCCCCCAAATCCTGCAGCATAGTATTCCTCCTCTGTCCTTTTGCTGAGATCCCAGTCTTTAAGGCAATTTATTCCAAAATGCTGCATCACAAGTAGTTTGAGGGTTAGCTTAACACTAATTGACAACTGACGAGCCCATTAAGTAGTGGCAAGTAGTTGGGTAGCAAGTGGAAGTTAATGTTTGAAGCAAACTGAATGAAACCAGACACTCATGTCAGTGCACTTTGCCATCGTACCTGTTTTGTTGTGGGTTGACTGCTGGTCACAATGGGAAATGAACTGCCCGAAAAACGGTGTTCGCTTGGGTTTGGCCACCAAAGGCTCGCAACGCTGCAGGTGAGCATGCTCCTGGTTTTGTTTGTGGCTATTGTGAGGCATTGACTCCTGAAACTTGTGCAGAATCGGGATGAATGCTTTCCAGTGGGTTTGCTTTTCGAAGTGCCTGGTGTTGCCACAATGTCAAACTTCATCGGCTGCCGATGTGCTCAGGCTCCCCACAAGATCAACTTTCATCGGATGCCCATCAGCTCAGTGCCCTAAGAAGTCCTACTTTCCATCAGATGCAGACGTCGCCAACTTGCCTAAGCATTCCTTCACAACAAATTTCATTCTCTCAAGCTGTTTTGTGTGTTATTGCCAATCTTTCAGGCTGATAGGGGAGCCGATCCTCTATGGTCAGGTCCTTCAGCTCAAGCATGTCACCTCAGGGCGGTACCTCTCAATACGAAAGACTGCCGCAGATGTTGAGAGGGGGGCACTGAAGACCACTCTGCAGGACGGGGGCACCGCTGGCTCCTGGTTTCGCATTGTCTCTGGCTATCGCACCAAAATAGATGGTGATCGGGTTCTCTTTGGCGACCTGGTGGCCCTCGAGAGTGTGTCATTTGGTGGGATGGGTCTGCATGTGTCCGTGGTGCCCATCACCGAGAGGGGAATGTTGCCGATCACCATCCACAGGTGCCTTTAAGGTTTGGTACGAGCTGGTGGGTCATGCCAGCGCACTTGTTCCCTCTGACTTGTTGATGAACCAAATTGCAACACATGACAATCTTTTGCGTTGCCCATGCAAGGCACATGTCGATGGTTCGGTTGCATTTGTTAAGGATTTGCCAAGGTCCACCCGATGTGTGTTTTTAAGGCAAAGATAGCCTTTGTTCCATCCACATGCCACATTCCGAAGTGCATGAATGTGAGGACTGTCGGATCAATCCATAGGTATGTTCAAGAATCGTGGGAGCTGACAGCATCCCCAGATGTGAGCTCATGGAAGCTTGTGCCACATTGCCTGCACCCTACGCTGCAGCCGCCCCGCCTGTTGAAGGGCTACTCTGCCGTCCAGCTGGTGCACAAGACATCAAACAGCCTGCTGGTCAGCGACTGCGGCAGAGTGCACTTCTCATCGGTCATCTCCAAGGGCATGTGCTCCGGAAATGCGATCTTCCAGTTGGAGCCTGTGCAGATCGAGTGGTCTGGTATGTCCACAGAATTCGAGGCCAGGGTCAGGCTGAGGCACTTGACCAGCAATCTGTATCTTGCTGGATGCAGTTTGTCCACCGCCGCTGGTGCTGATGACCCATCTCCCACCCTTGACGAACGTCCCGTGCAGTCTCCAAAGGGGCTGCTGCAACTCTGCCTTAGTGCTGACTACAATTCCCCGAGCTGTGTGTGGCAGTTGCATGCCTTCTCCAAGGGCGGTGAAGCGCATCTGGAGGAGGAGTCCTTCGCCTTTGTGGGGCACGCCCAGGGCCAGTGGCTGGCCCAGGGCAGGATGATCAACTCCCTGAACGATGCAGAAGATGATAAAGACATTGACGGGGACGAGATCCAGGAGACGTTCGAAGCGGAGCTGAAGGGGCAGCGGCTGGAGCGCAATGTGATGGCCATCTCTGCGATAGACCCAAGATATGTGGAGAAGCTAATGAACGTTCGAAGCTCCCTGGCGATCATTGAAGCCTTTGCAGGACAGTTGGTGTCAGATGTAGGCCCTCTCGGGGTGTCGAAGATGTCTCCCTATGAAGACATCAAGGAGGCGGCCACCAGGTGTGGACTGGTGCACTTGTTCGCCAGCAAACGCGCAAGCGTATTCAGCACCCTGCACGAGATGGTGAAGATGGTGACCGACGCATACTACGACGGCTGTGACGCCAAGCGCTCCGTGCAGACCTACCAAGTGCTGTCCAGGGAGACCAGGCTGATAGACGCAGTCCTGTGTTGCCTCAAGGCCGTCGATTTTCCTGTCTTCTTTGGCCCTGCCAAGGACTCCAGCATCGGCAACACCATAATCGAGTTTGGCACGGTCTGCAACACATTCCTCCAAGCCGTCTGTCGCGCCAACGCCATGAACCAGGCCTACCTGTCGTCCCACATCGGCCTCTTCAAACACCACCTTGGGGGCCCCATCAAAGTGGCAGACACCCTGGCCGCCATCTACGAAAACAACATGGAACAGATACAGGTCGTGTCCGAGGACGTCGTGGCTGCGTTCGTCGCCCTGATCCGTAAAGTCGGCCGGCGGCCCCGTTTCGTCAACTTCCTGCGCACCATCTGTGGCTCCCCCGACAGGCCTGTTCCTAAGAACCAGAACTGGCTCGTCTCTCACCTGTTCAGCGATCCGGGGGCCATTTTCTTTGCCGCTGGGCCGGGGCAAAACGGCTCCACATGGATACTGAAAACACCACAGGAGGCACCAGGGGCAGGTGGCGCCAACGTCGATTGCTCGTCGTTCTTGGGCTCTCTGGACGACATCACCAAGCCCACGATCTTCGAGTGGGACAGGTCCTATGACACCATCAGGAATCAACCGCGGCACATCGCCTTCATCTACTACATCTGCAGCCTGCACCTGCTGTGCGCCCTGTGCTATGGCCGCAACGCCCATGCGCTGGAAGTCGTCCAGAAGGTGTCCCGCACCCACGGCCTGGGTCTCGAATTCGAGCACTTGAACAGGATCGTGGCCAGCGATCGGCTGCCGTACGTGCTGCGGTGCGCCGCGCTGGACCTCATCGCGTGTATCCACGTCAACATCGACCCCCGCCAGCCTATCCAGCTCCCGAGATTGACACGACTGCTGACGCAGGATTCTTCGACCAACCCCAAAACTGATTCCGCCAAAGTCGTCCAACGGGGTCCTCTGAGCGATCTGACGTCCATACTTGTGGGTATTGTCGGCACAGTGGCCACGACCGTGTCCAGCCAGGCAGCCAAAGACAACCCTGGCGGTGGGCACCGTGCACGCCGAGCGTCCCTGATCCATGCCAAAGGGGCCAACCCCGAGGACACTGGAAACTGCCGCATTGAAGAAGATTGGTCATGCGTGGGTTCCCACAGCCTGCTGCTGACCGTGGTGTCCACGCTTCAGATGATGTTCAACCTTGGGGTCATCGATCTTGATCACCCAGACGTGGGCCCGCTCCTGCAGTCCCTGTTGGCCATGCTCACGTGCCTCGACTGCAAGGACCTGCAAGACGCCTCGAGGTTTCAGCACTCGGCGGAGGCGGACGTCGTGGTGAAGGTCAAGCGGTCCATCCTGGCGCTGTTCGAGTTCGCCCTGGACATGCATGGCGAAATGATGCTGGAGGCTGTCTTCAGGGTCTTTGCGAGGCTGCACAACGAGGACAGGGGCGTCGAGGTGGAGCCCCCAGGAGAGGGTCAATCCGACGACCTCGAGGGTTTCGAGGAACTGGACGGGGAGGATTTCGGGGAGAAGGAGACGCCGACGAAGCGGGCACTCCTGCCGCGCTCCAGCAGCAAGAGGAAAATCGCGCCGCAGAATCCAAAGGGGCACACGAACGTCAAATCGGCGGTCAGGGACTTGGTGCGGACCATCCACGGCAGCGCCCCTCATGGATTTCTGATGTTCAAGTTCGACCCACTGCAGTACGGCAAGATGGAGGGCCCGGTGATGGACCTGCTGGGGCTGGTGCTGTATGAATCGCCGCCCCTGGTGTCCGCCGCCTTCAGGCTCATAGAGCGCCTCCTGTCGAAGCGGAGGAAGTTCCTCAGCGCCGTCATGGACACGCACATCATTTTCGAGGAGGACATGATCCTCATGTACAAGAGGTGCCAGGCGCTGGTCGCGGACCTCCACGCTAATCAGAAGTGGGTCGCCAGCGTGAACGAAGACAGGAAGCAGGACGCCATATCCAAGTGCAAGGAGGGCATCGAGGAGCTGACGCACATGCTGACCCCGAATCAGATTGTGTGCATCTCCGACGGCGCCTCAGAGAGACGAATCGCGGTGACAAAAGCGAAAGCCACCAATTATCAGGCCATCCTGCACGACCTGCGCGTGCACGACCTCGTCATGACGTTCCTGAAGCTGCCGCTGAGGCGCCGAAAGCAGGAGCCGCTGGAAGAGGGGGGCCGGCCCAGGATGGACGTGGCGGAGGACGTGCCGCGGCGGGAGCTCTTCGGCCTGTGCTACAAATTTCTGAAGCACTTCTGCGTCGTCTGCGCCCCGTCCAGCACCGCCCCCAACTCGAAGAACCAGGCCGCCGTCTGCGAGCACCTCGGCCTCTTCGTCTCGCACACCGGGGTCATGAACCTGAACGTCGCGGACACCATTGCCTCACTGTTTGAAAAGAACGAGTCGCTGTGCCACAGAATCGGGGCGGAAATCCTGCGCAAGTTCGTCCACATGATCGTCACGTACGGGGAGAAGAAGCGCGCTCGGTGGCTCAGATTCCTGCAGGCCATCGTGGTGGTGGACGGCAGGCCCGTCAAGGAGAACCAGTCGACTGTGCTGTCACTGGCCAGCCACTACGAGTCCGACTTCTGTTCGTTTTTCAACTCCGGCGCGGCGGCGCAGAGCCGGCGCATCCAGCTGCTGCAGCAGGAGGAGCACCTCGCGAATCGGGAGGACGGGCCCAGCGCGCAGGGCAGCGAGCTGAGCTACCACAGGGCCTGCATCGAGCTGCTGGCGGACTGCTGCGTGGGCAAGGACACCACCTTCGTGGTCAAGGCCAGCGGCTTCCTCACCTTCGAGGGCGTGCTGCAGTCGCTGCTGCTGTACGGCGCGCCGGGCGTGCGCCCGCAGTGCCTGCGGTTCGTCCTGGCGGCCTACTGGAAGTTTCTCCGCCACGTGTACTTCGCCACGCACACCGGCAGTACGCGGAGGTCGGTCAGGGCGGCCAACAACGGGGTGTGGCAGGCCGACGCGACCCAAATCGCGAGAACGTCTTCCATCGGCAGCGACAAGAGCGGCCTGTCCATGTGGGCCAACGACGCTGTCAAGTTGGGCTCGTGCAGCTGCCTCATGGAGGGCGTGGTTAAAGAGCTGCGGGTGGCCTTGGACGAGCCCAAGGGGGCGCTGCAGGACCCGGAGTCCGCGACGGCGTTCCTGCCCAGCGTGGTCTTCCCGGCGCTGCAGGAGTACTTTCAGAACCACTACCTCCAGCACACGACCCACCTGTCACAGGGCCACGAGTCGCTGCTTGCGGAGCTGGCGCAGGGCCTGAGGGTGTACTTCGAGGGCCTGGCGTCGCTGGACGCGGCTGCCCTGGGAATGAAGCAGGAGAAGCGGGAGGCCGTGGCCAGCGCCAAGTCGCTGCTGGAGACGCTGTCGTCGGTGACAGGCGTGCTGGGTATGGGCGACGTCCAGGTGACGACTGTGTAAAGCATTTCATCCCACTTCGTTTTGCGATACTTTGTTTTGTTGAATGATTCAAGGTGAATCATGCAAAAGCCTTTTTACGTACGCATAGTTCATCAGTCTGCGCACTCTTGCCAAAGTTCATTAAATCTGGTATTTGACGACATTCGTGGAACAATGGCGCAGCTCTGGCGCGCTCAGGGCGATGAGGGACATAGGTCCGCGCTCGAAATGTCCAAATGCGACATGTTGCATTGCATCGATCAAGGAGGTCCTCCTGGACTCCGTCCAGAAGCTCCTTGGATTTCAACCACTCTCACTGCCGCACGCTTGACACGCTAAGGACATGGCCACCGCACTTCCCTACGCCGTGTGGTCCCCCAGCAGAAACAAATTGGCCATGTTTGCCAGCCACCGACTTGAGCCAATGGAACCAGTGGTTCCGACAACCCGTTTTCAACTCGCAGGTGGCGCTGGTGAACGACGAGGCGTCCCAGCATCGAACCACCGCATCCGCGGCCGCCATGCAGGTGGTCTCCTCCCAATGGGCGTCCTTCTACACCCTGCTGGGCCGCCAGCTGGGAGTGCATGTGTGCGAGGCCTCCAACGAGCCCGTCGAGGAGCGCACCTTCCTGGACTGTCGCGTGCGCTACGCCAGCTTGTTTCTTTTTGCTCAGATGCTGGCCCAGCCCTGGGCCACGCCCGTGCCCAACGCCTCGCCTCCCCTCTTCCTGGAGCAGGTACCACTAGTGAAAACACGCCAAAATACACGGTTTCGATAATCGCGTACCATGTAACACTATAGAAAATCATGTGAAAATCGTGTATCTGTCGTGTGTATATCGTATAAAAATGGGAGGTCATTGTAGATTGCCGGCAGAGGGACGCTATAGCGTCCATAGCCAGATAGCGCTATCTGGCTATCCGGGTTCAGCGGAGATGCGTAACACGACCAGTGTGTCGATTTTCCATGCTGCCAGTGAAGATGTTCATTAACATGTTCTTCCTGGAGCAGGTCGTTGCGAGGCTCGCGCACCTGTTGGCCGGTGGCCTTGAGGCTCTGGACTGGCCCGACGAGCTCGTGGTGAAGACCGTGCGCTGCGTGCGCGCCGCAGTGCACATCGACGACGGGGCCGGCGGAGTCGAGACTTGGAAGGCGGCGTGGCCGCGGGTTGTGGCGAACGAAGCGCCGCAGAGCGAGCACGGCGACATCCTGGCCTGGTCGCAGAGCAAGTACAACCGGCTGGGGGCGACCCGAGCAGCGGTCATGCTGGTGGGCCACGCCAGGGTGCACGTGCAGCTGGAGGCCATCCGGCTGCTGATAGCCCTGCTGGAGGGCGGCAACGGCGAGGTGCAGGACACCATGCACGGGCTGCTGTCCGTCGGGGGGGAGGCCAGTGTGGCGTTCTTCGCGACCATGCGGGCGGCCTTCCAGAGGTGCTCGGCCACCGCCAAGGACAGCGCGTCAAGAAGGCCGCAGGGAACGGAGGAGGACAGGTCAGTCTAAATGTCGCCCCAGACGGGCGTTGGATCCAATGGGGCTGATGTGGACGCAGGGAGGATGGCTGGATTGGGTGGGGTGGGCAAGGGAAGGGAGGGTGGGTGGGCGGGCGAAACTCATTTGCATTATGCAGCACGTGTCAAGTGATTCAGCACTGTCCATGGCAAGGAGCCGCGCTCATTCATGCAATCGGGCAATGTGGCTGATCAGGCAATTAAGCTCTATCTGGCAACAGTTAACATTATGCATATTGGTTTTGGCCACTCTTTCCTCAGAAGCATCCAACCGGGATCCACTTTGGAATCATCAGCAGGGTGCACGTGCTGGGCACGCCCGAAGATGAGGCTGAACAAGATGAAGAGGGGGATGAGGAAGAGGTGTGGGAGCAGCGGGCTGTGGCCCTGAATGACGCCGACGACGACCTGGCCTTCACCATGGAGGCCCTGCGGTGCCTGCAGCTCATGGCGGAGGGCCACCACGCGGCCAACCAGCAGCTGCTGAACGCCCAGCCCCGCAACCCCATCAACCAGGACTTGTTGAGCGAGGCGGTGGCGCTTCTGGCGTCGGTCCAGAGCTGCATCATGGAGAGCGTGGCGGCGGGCAACAGGGACAATCCGGCGCTCATGGTGCGACTGTTCGAGTTCCTGCGGGAGCTGGTGCAGGGCCCCTGCAAGTCAAACCAGACGGTCATGGCCATCCAGACGGGCTTCCTGTTCGTGAGCAACCGGATATTCGGGTACATGGACTACGACCTGCAGGTGACCGGGAGGCACCATAATTGCGCCTCTGAATGAACCAAACGCGTTGAATTGCGGTGCGCTTGTGTCGCAGTTGTGTTGCAATCCTCTCGGCCTCGTTGTGAACCATTCTGCGAATTGCATTGCGTTTTCCTTGCGATGAATTTTACGGATACAGACGCACAAAGTAATCTGAACGGAAAATGCTTGCCTGACACAATTTACCGCCCAGCATGCTTCTGGTGCACATTGTTCGATCATTCAACAATCGAGGCTTGTTGTGTTACATACAGTGTTCGACTTCTTCAAAGTATCTTACAGCATTACGCCGTTGCAACGGTGGCCAAGGAATTCATGCTTCGTAGCGAGGAACTCGGATAGATTGAGAAGATCTTAGCACATCCCAGTGTATAATACTTGATGCAATGCAACACTTCTGAATGAAGTACATAGCACACGTGGGCACGCTGGCACACGTGGGTACACTACCTAATGCAACGCAATACTTGACACACTGTTCATTACAAGGCTGTTTGTATTTTTGCCTCGCTCCCATTATCGTCGAAGGAGATTCTCTAGTCCAGCATGAGATGTTGCAACCGTTGCCAAGAATTTTCGCTTGACGGATCGCGATAGCTGAGCAATTAGCATCGAGTAAATCGATCGCGATATTCAATTTGTAGGGATGACGGCCACATCGATGCTGCCTTCCGAGACGCAGACACACGCAGTGAACACCTACTTCTTCCCGTATTTGACAGGGACGCAGGGAAAAAGAAGAACAAGCTGTCCAGAAATGCACCATCAAGGCAAATCTCCTGTCGTTGATGTACAGCCTGCTTGAGGGCGCCACGGACATGGACATCGCGATGCGCATCATCGACGTTGTGGACATGAAAACGATCCAGCATCAGACCCAGTCTCTGTTTTCGGTTCTGGGATTCGACGGGCGACCTCCCCTCTTCAGGTGGCCTGGTCTGCGCAAAGCATGTTTTGACTTCCTCAACAGCCTGATCGCTGAGTATCGAGCATTTGTCATTCGAAGTTCCCGAGTTGAAAGTGAACAGCTCTGTTTGAAACGCCCTGATATTGAGCCGGAAGCACCGAATGCGACGAGCTGTTTGCACAAGACAGCGCCACTGATTCCGGTATTCGGACAAACTCGTTTCAGCGAAGCAGATGTTCCTTTGTTCCAGATAACAAGAGCAGATGGTGATTGACCGCTGCAGACTGCGTCATTCACCGCAATTGATATCTGCTTTTTTAGTTTTTACGAAGTGCTGCATGAGCTTTGAATCGTGCTCCACCGGGCAAAAAGCACGTATTTTGCTGAAGGAAACCAGCCGGACGGGGCCGCGCGATCCCTCGCCATCCTTATACTGGATCCCTTGTCGACTGGGATTTCACGCCCTGAATCGGTTCCCACGTCCTGCCCAGGACCAAGTACGTGAACGACCTCCTGAAGACGGAGCTCCTGCAGTTCGTGTTCTTTCAGGAAAAGCTGAACGCGCTGCTGAGCGCAGACGGAAAGCGCAGCGCCGAGTCCGGCGCGCCGTTGTGTTCGTCTGCGGGCGGCGCGCTCAAGGGCCTCTCCAAGTTCATCGAGGGCAATCTGGGATCCGTGGAGGTGATGTGGGGAGGCCGGCTGGAGAAGGGCTATTTCCCCCTCACGCCCACCTGCCAGAGTTTGGCGACCAGCGGGATCTGGAAGTCCAACACGCTAGAGATCCTGAGGTCGATTTCGCCTGACTCAAGGAGCAATCCCGCCCTGAAGGTGCGCGTGGAGATTGCCGCCTTCGCTGGGCGAGGCACTGCATGGGGTGCTGAGGTATCCAACCACATTCCTGTGGGAGTTGTCGCTGGAGTTTTGCTTGGCAATGTCGTCGTATATCACCCGCGGTGTTGCCCGTCTCCAAATGTCGCAAATAGAATGGATGTATTTTTAAGGCGATTACGCCTCTCAGCAAACGGAACCACTGTAGCCGCTCATCCACGCAACCGAATAGCACAAAACGAGCAACAGAATTACGTTCGCAAATAACGGCAAGCAGCGATCTGAACAAGAACACTTGTTTCCTCGTTTCACCCATATTCAACGTCGCCCTTCAGTATTGCATCTTGAGAGACGCCGTATGTCGCAATTTTTCCATCATTCTCCGGATGTTTTTCTGCATTGTGAATGATGCCAAATATGGAAATACACAAACCGTCATCAAACGGCGCACATTAAGCGCGCCAACCGCCCCGTCCGCCAGGCCATCGAGCTCGCGAAGGCCATGGAGAAGATCGTCAACGACATCGACATCGAGTCCAGCTTCATCACGGGCAGCGGCGGCTGGCTGCTGCCCCTCATGAAGCGGCGCCGCCTGCTGCAGGAGGGCGCCGCCTACATCAGCATCGTGGTCATCGCCGTCATGGCGTGCACCTACGGGGCCAGCCACGGGGAGTGGGAGGGGGGGCGCGAGTGGGCGGTGGTGGGCACGCGGGTGCTGTCGGTGGTGGAACTGGCGCTCATGGGCGCGGTGGCGCTGATTTTCTACGTGAGCGACTTCCCCAAGTGGGCGGAAGAAATGCGCAAGCAGGAGGCAGAGGGCGCGAATGGGTAGGTGCGTAAAGGCCGGGCAGTCGGTTGCGACGGAGAGGGTTGCTTTGCGGTTCTGTTCTTTCGTTCCGAAACGTGCCACAAAGTTTGAAGAGCCATGGTGACTGGGCCGCCTCAACGCCACGGCACAAATGAAAGAGACGCGGGCCTTTTGGTGCTGTGGAAGAGCGTGAAGCGGTGTGGGAATCTATTTTGAGACAACAGAAGCCCATTAAACCTACTGATTTAGGAAAAAATTTTGAACAATTTCTAATAAGACATGCTCGACACGCAGGGGGGCAGTCGCAGACGTGAGTCATTGCAGCGATGCCAGTTAAAATTTTATGCAACAAATTGAATGTGTATAAGATGCATCTTGTATGGAAGAATCAGTAACAACTGTTTGAATTAAGCACAGCTCACTGAATACATACTCTCGGAAAAGAAATCTTGAAGATGGACAGGCAGTGCAATGGAAAGCACCGAAATAGAATGCGATGTTGTGGGGCTTAAGGGGACGGAAAGGTAGAAGTCAAGGAGCTCAAAACTTGCGACATCGGCAGCGAAAAGAGAGCGGCAACTTGCGACACTAACGTCTGTCCGAGCGACACCGTTGAACCTTTTGCGTGGCTTGAAACCTGTTCACCAACTTCCAGGGAGTCCCTTGAAGATTCTAGTGGCCAGGGAGGAGACGAGAGTGGCCGAAGCAATGACGGCGCTCCAAACGACAGCTGCAAAGGCGGCTGCCAAGCAGGCGGTATCAAGCCACCGCCAGATGTCTCTTCCACGCAGCACGAGAGATTCCGATTGCTGAAGAAAGCCAAAACTCTCTTCACCTACTGGAAGACATGGTAACGCCGGCGCGCCATTCCAAACGAGCGCCGCCTCCTCGTTCATCAACAATTGATTGTCATATGATGACAACAAAATTATCAGAGCCATAATGGTTACGATGACAGTGAGAATTGTCGTGAATCGCGCAATGCCTACTGGGAGGGCGAAGAAATTGGGCAAGTGGTTATAAAGGGAATGCTGTGCTAATTATGGTGTGGCTGGGCAGGCAATGAACGTGGTGCTAAATATGGTGAAATTAATATCGAGATAAGATGATTCCTCACTGAGAACATGTGCGGTGGATGCTGCTGGTTGGTGTGCCTGTCCTGTATCACTTCCAGTTACGGCTTTGCTTCCCCTGCGTGGGAGAGACCGTGACAGGGAGCTCGCCTTCGTCATATCTACTGCACTGCCAGTAACATCTCCAAATTAATCTCGGAACTGTGTCTGATGCAGCCGTTTGCAGAACACTCCCAGTAAAAGTAATAACGGGCGTAGTACCTAGTACTTAGCATCGCGGACCTCTACAGCTGCTGTCATTGTCATGTATTTTAACAATGCTTGTGCGCATTCAATTCCGCGCTGCTTGGAAACGCACGAAAAATGGGGAAACAGGAAGAAATGGACTTTTTATGGCCATTGTATGTCTTTACCCGCCTTGGGCAGAAAAAGCTTACTGTGTATACCCTTTTTTTCACGATGCTACCAGACATAGAGTTTCTCGCGGTCCCTGTGGCCAGGCGCCCCTTTCGAATTTATTGCACATCGGTGACGCACTTGATCAGGGCTAAGCACCGCGGATCGAGCCAAAATTTGTCAACATGGATGAAAATATCGATTAATTATTGCTCACCAGATGATGCATTTCAGTGCATTTTTCAATTTCCATTGGGCATGGCTATATTTGACGGCAGCGATTCCCATGGACCTGCGAATCTCCCCCCTGCTTTGCGAATGACCAGTTGAGCATGTCCACGCCGCGAAGCACTCTCGAAGCACAACCAACACTTCCTCAGAAAATATGCTGCAGCCAAGCACCACGAGGCAATGAGCCTCATATAACTTCTGCCCAATGGTGTGCTGCATGCCATTCCAGCAACACGCCCCCCTGCGCGCGCAGGTACATCCTGCTGCTGCTCGCCGCTTCCGTGGGCGCCGTTGTGCACTCGCCGTTCTGCCTTACCTTCCACCTCACCTTCTTCTTCGTGGAGTTCGAGGCCGGCAAGATGATCATCGAAGCCCTGTCCAAGTCGGGCACCGCCATCCTCCGGACCGCCGTGCTGGCCATCCTCTCCATACTCATCTTCGCGGTGCTGTCCTTCACCCTTTTCAGGGAACCTCTCGCAGGTGAGAGCTCGCGGCTGGCGACCTAGCTTGCAGATGTTTCTCGGAGATGTCTGTGGCAGATACATGTCTGCATATAGCTGATAAATGTACATCAGATGCATATCAGATATAAGGGGATATCAGACATACTTCAGAAGGATCAGATATATGCGAAAGATTCATATGGCTCCATTCCAGCGTTTTAGGATCTCAGGCTGTCTACACATCTGGGCTGGTGCTTTGAAATCACTACCGTGGCGTAGGGTCACTCTACAGAACTTGTTGTGCTTGTTCCATTGGAGTGCGCTGGCTGGCTGCTATTGGCAATCGCAGGTCTTGAGCCTTGCAGGCGGTTCACCCTTGGTCCACGTTGTATGGGTTGGTGCGCTCCTACAACTGGCCCGCAAGGGGCGTGGCAAGCGCAGTGTATGCGGGCTCTACGCGCACGTTCACGCACGCAGGGTTTGAACATTAGGTGGCAGTGCTTGTGAGTGTCTGTTTGTCAGTATATTGTCCGAATACTGTTTGAACATGTTCAAACGTGTGCGTAAGGATTTGCCATCATTGTGCATCAGTACGCATGACTGAACCATCTGTACATCGCGCTGTACACTGCGCTGAGAGTCCTGCAGGTTTGGCTCAACCAGGTCGATTGATTACCGGCTCCGCCCACCATCCCGCCCAAGGTGCATTTTGGTTTGAGCTACGAGCGCTTTGAAAACATCAACGAACACCAAGAGAACGTGGCAATGCTCAATGTGGCGGTGTTGGCCAGTCACAAAAACTGCATGTATGTCCGTGTGCGCCCGGCCGCTGACACGCATGCACGTGGGCTGGCATGTAAACACTCACATACTTGGTACATGGAAAGCCAGGTTTGCAGATATCTGGCGATTTCGCGATCAACATAGGCATCCAGCCAGTGCCAACACGGTTCGTTGGAGCAGTTACTGATCTGCTCAGCATCCCATTCCCCGCCCAGTCTGCGTGCTGTCTCGTGCGTGCGTCCACCCCTGTTCAAAGGCTTGTGGCAGGCCATATACAGAACATAAACATATTTCGTTTCCGTTGCTGCAATCGAATCTACGATTCTCGCTTCACCATCAACGCACGGGAGGACCGCGTCCGTTGCGCTGCCCGCTCCCTGCTAACCTGGCACCCAGCGCTGCGCCATCGACTGACAGCTCAATCGATGGATACTTTTATTTTCTGCTCTCACTTTCTTTTTCTTCTTTTCTTGTTGCCCCCTTTCCCAGGCCAGGCCCCGCCCTGCTCCACCTTCTACCAGTGCACCGGCTCCCACTTCATAGCCGGCATCTACGGCGACATCGCCGGCCTGTTCACCGGCGACCTGGCGTCCGACGTGCCCGACGACGTCGGGTCGTCCTGGAAGCTGCAGCTGCGCTCCATCTTCGTGGTGGTATTCTTCATGATGTGGACCTTCGTGCTGTCCAACATCTTCACGGGGCTCATTGCGGATGCCTTCGGCGCCATACGCGATGACAAAAACACCGTCCAGACGGACTCCGATTCGCGCTGCCTGGTGCGGAATGGGGTCAGAACGCTGGCAAGGAGGTTAGGTGATTTGGTGCTTGATGTTTGACGACGAAGTGTTGTGTGCATCATTGGCCGCGTGCGTGTTGGTCATATGTGGGACGATCAATTGTCATTCACTAATGGTAATCGTAAGAGAAAATAACAGAAAACCTGAAGGGCGTCAATGACGAGTAGGTCGCTGTGCACATTTGATTGAATTCAGATCTCTGGAGTCGCTGTATTCACAGCGCGGCAGATAGGAGCAACTGGAAAACAAATGCAGCATTAACGCAAATATTTACATAGACTGACACGTAATTTAAAAGAACCGCTGTTTGAATCTATTCCTTAATGTTGTTCAAAATAAACATACTCACGGCCGCGTACTTCGGAGCACGCCGGTGGTTCACCTAAATCCCTAAGGGCAGGACGTCCCCGGCTTTTCAGATTGATGCGCGTGAAACCTGCATAAGTCACCAAATATCACTGCACTGAGACCAAGCCTCCATAAGCACGAACGATCTGCCATTCTGGTAGAACACAAACCTCTCAGAGAGGAGGCTCACTGGTGCGCCGTGCCCCCTCGCCCGAGTTTGCGTTGGGCACTCATCAATTCGCATCGGATACTCCACAGCATGGAAAAGAGTCTCGCAAGCACTTGCTCAGGACGGGGCGCCCTTTACATGACCTGTACATTTCTCTCTCTGCAACACATCTTGCCCCCGCCCAGGTCTGCTCCCTGGAGCGCTTCGCCTTCGACAGCGCCGGCAACGGCTTCGACGACCACGTGGCCCACGACCACTGCCCCCTGGACTACGTCTACTACCTCCACTACCTGCGCCACACCGTGCCCGACGAGTACACGGGCTACGACTCCTGCGTGGCGGCGGCCATGGCGGGCAGCGAGACGGACAAGGCGGCGTGGCTGCCCATTGGGCGGGCACTGGTACTCGAACACGTGGGGGGAGGTGAGGGGGGGGAGAGGCAGAGGATATCGGAAGGGATGGAGCGCCTCTGGGGAGGCCTTAAGGCCATCGAGGGGCGGCTGAGGGAGCTGGAGGAGCGGTCCAGGGGGCCGGGGGCGTTGTGACGCCTCGTCGGGGAGTTTCCAGGATGCTGATGGTTTTGGGAAATTTGGGAACGGTTTTGTAATTAAAAGTTTTAGCTACGTTTTTTGGGAACTTAAAGCTAGAACCCGGAAATTTTAAGCTGAAATGCTTGCGGGGGCAGTGGGCGCCACTGCGCCGTGCTAGTTTTGGTCAGGGAGGCGTTGTGCCGTGCGCTTTGGCCGTCTGGGCGCTGCGATTGTTTTCGAGATAGGGGTCGACTGCGCACTTGATTTGGCGGCGTTGGTTTGGCCAGTGAGGCCGGGGCGGTCGGCCGATTGTGTGGGCACAGTGGTGCAGCGCTTCGGACAGGGGGGAGAGGGAGCGGGATGCGTTGAGGCTTCAGGAACAAAAAGCGGTTTGTGAGCGTCCACCGCCGCACGGCTGATTGCGAGGGAGACGACGTGGCTGGTGCGCGATTTGGGTGTGTTGTTCAATAGGCTGCCCGGGCTGTGGGCGAGCGCCTTGGTAGGGACTGTACAGTATTTTGCCAGCGGACGTGAGGCGAGTGGCGATTGGGATTTGTTGAGACAACGGAGGGCAAACACTTGGGTTGCAGTGTGTCAACTGGAAATTGCAAATCCAGGCCTCTACGCACTTCGGGGGATGATGAGCGAAGCCTTGCTCGAATGCGGACAGAAGAGGTGTTTTCTAGTCCGAGGTCGAACAGTGCACATGCGCTGTGCAACACGACCATTCCGACCCGCCTGGGTGAGGTGATGCCACTGCTCCACGTTCTGTCAAATGCACGCATCGTGAAGCACGCACACATTAAATTCCCCTCGTTTGGCTCTTCCGCTCCAGGAAGCAATCCACAGACATTCTTTCGCTCCCCAAAGTCACCATTATGCACAGCGGAGCCATCCTTGCAGAACCCGCGCACCGTTTGTTTTGCTACATCAATGTAAGAGAATATTCTCTTCAAAACACAAACGGGCACCTTGCGCGCACCACTTGGTGAGGGGCGTGTATCGTCCAAGAACATTTTCTCTTCCTCATCCGATCATTCAATAATCTCGCTGCCTTTCTACAACGTATGAAAGGGCATTTTCAAATACTGCAGTAGTAAAAGAAGAGAAGTTGAAATACGATTCTTGCGTCCATGAGCACAAAACTTCGTTGCATTTGGCACAAACATGGGTCGGTGTTTGCAGCATTCAAATTGGAACAAACTCCAGGGAAGGGCCTGAGCAGGATGGATAGATTGACAGAGGCCACGGCGGCAGGGGCTGGGAGAGCATTAGCAAGAGGCGCAGAAGAATGATGAATTCGAGTTGTTCGTAACATGGCGGCAGCTCTTCGTGGACAGAATCATGGCAATTTCAGGATTACCTGTATTGCCAATGTACAACTATCCTTGTTGCAAGCACACTAGTAAAAAATCGGCCAAAGTACACCGTCCTGAAAATGACACACCGTGTTATGCGTGTAAAAAATCGTGTAAAATCGTGTACTCTGTGTGCGGTCAATTGACAACAAGTGAAAATCGTGTACTCTGTTTGCGGTCAATTGACAACTGAAAATCGTGTACAATCGTGTAACATCGTGTTACACCGTGTTCTGTCCGTGTAATGAGTCGTGTACCCAGTCGTGTACCCTTGTTGGAGTCATTTGTCAAGAGCTGGAAATCGCGTTTCCTCACTGAAAATCGTGTTCCTTCGTGTTGCTTGGGTAATCAACCGTGTAGCCAACCGTGTAATGAAATTTGCACCCCCAAGCTGCACTCATTTTTGAACGATGGAACACCTTATATGATAGTTGAAAATCGTGTAACATCGTGTACTTTCGTGTTGTGCGTCGTGTACCCAGCCATGTATCCTTGTTAGAGGTAGCTGCCAGCAGCTGGAAATCGTGTTGCGCAGCTCAGAATCTTGTTCCTTTGTGTTATTTGGGTAATCAACCGTGTAACAAATCGTGTGATGGTTTTTGCACCCAAGCTTCACTTAATTGTAAAAAACCAAAACTTGGTGTAGCATAGCTGAAAATAGATACTGGCCGCATGACCTCAAGACTGGATGTGGGAATCCCGCCGTCCATCAGGAATTATGCCAAGTGGGCCCCCGCCCCAGCCAACACAAAACGAACCCCCTTTTTAATTGATGAGTATGTGACGGGCAAAACGAAGACGAAAAGCATGAATGGCTCTAGCGCGGAACACGCACAACGGAGCGGCGTGAGAGGCGGTGCTGGACGAAGGGCTGGCGGGGCGAAATGAAGGTGCGTGTGTGCAGGGGTTCTTGAAGAAGTTACGCGGACACCCAGGGGCAGGATGGGCTGGGGTTCCGCGCCGATTCAGGATGTCCATGCGCCGAACGAGGGGCGTTCCTGGAGGCGACGTTCCGTGAGCGAGTGCCAGGGCGATCGGTGAGCGAGAGCAAAGGCGATCCGTGAGCGAGCGCAAGGGCGATCCGGGAGCGAGTGCAAGGGGTATGCAAGGGCGATGCATGGGCGACGGAAGGGCTATGCATGGGCGATACATGTCGAGTGCAAGGCCGATGCATGTCGACTGCAAGGGCAGTGCAAGGGCGATGCAAGGGCGATGCACGGGCGACACAAGGGCGATGCAAGGGTGATGCCATCGCGATGCAAGGACAGCAGCTGTGGACAAGAACAAAGGTGGGTTATAGGTGCTGAGGCGGTGGGGTTTGTGGATATCACGATTGTGCATGTATTTCTGTTGGTTGTTGCAAGCGATTCGACGTCGAATGCCTGGGTTACGAGGCAGTATCGGGTCAATGAACATTGCTTCCTGTTGCCGTGGCCTGTCCTCCCTGGCAGCCTATTGTCCGGACGTGCACGGTTGGTGACTTGCCACCACATTCAGGCAGCTGTGGTGCCATCGTCACACTTCAAGGCCGGTAGAATTGTGGCTATTCAAGAGATTGTCAATCATGACAGCTCGGGAATTCGTTACAAAGTTCTGTCCAACAAAAGCGGACTTTTCATAGGCATGAACAAAAAGGCCAGTCTGGAATCCCTTGCACATTCAGATCCACTTCCAAGCACATCCATGACACACAAGTCCAACATACCAAAAAGCATCAGATCACACATTTCCAGTACTGGACGGCCCTGCACCGTCACCATCCCCCCCCTGTGGATGCCCAGAGCGCTGGGTGCTGGCCGAGAGATCAGAGGCTCCGGTCTTTTTCCTCAAGTTCTTTTTCTTGTTTCTGAATTTGTTGAATATGCACAAGGAAATTTGCTTAGTGTCCATCCCTGCCTGTGCCCCAATGTCAAGCATAAGGCTGAACGCCTGGGGTTTGGCCATCTTGAACTCCGACCACATGTCAATCCCCTCCTCCCCCTCCAGCGCATCTTTCATCACATTCCGGAGTTTGGCAGAAACATCCGGGGGGATCTTGGGTTGCTCCGCACCCACAACTGAACCACGTGGCACAGCCCCAGTGCTGCCTCCATGTACGCTTGCCTTGCCACCAGCAACGTGGGTAAGGCTGAGCCACAAAGCCCGCTCAACAAAGTTGAACTCTTACTCCTTAGCGATCAGATCCACCGGAGTTAACCGTGCCATTTGCCATAGCGCCGATGCGCTCTCTATGTAGGCCCCCATGTTGTCCAAAATTCTGTCAATCGTTGCAGCTGCAAAGCCGTGCTCCTTCAGAATGGATTGAGGGGTGGCCTCCTTTGGCTGATCAGTGGCATCGTCTGGCTTGACCTGCACAACATTGTTAACTAATATTGTTATTTGCTTGTTGTCGATTCTTCTTTGTATATATATACTTCCCAGATGGACGAATTGCAGTACTTGGTCATTGGTGGTAATATCATACCACGAACATTCATTGCGTACTTCTGGAATTCATCTCCAACCTATAGATGGCTTGCCTTCGTAATGTGAACATTGCTCAACATTGTGTGTAGAGAGTGACTATTAAAGTAGTGCTTGTGGATGGCTATTTGCTTGAGCCGAATTCAGTGCCCACACTCCCCAGGGCTGGATATTGTGCACTGATGCAGGGACTTGCCTTTTGATATTGGCAATTCTGTGTTTTGCATGTCTATTGGGGTTTTTGTGTCTCTAATACTACTGAACAAGGTGTACAGAACAAAACGATAATAGTGGTGCCAATGAGTATGTTGTCTTGTTGGGGACAATAACAACTCCAGCAGTGCTGAATGTGTCACATTGCACACTTGGGACAGGTCTCGGGGCAAGCAGGCGCAGTCCACACCACATCGCATCACCTGGTGTGGTGTGTCATCCCGAAATTTGAAATCAACGGTTTGCCGCCACTGCCGGCGCCCGCTCGTTCAAGATCAGGCAACCGCCGCCACCCCGCGCGTCCCCTGCCCTGGCGTTGTGATGAGGCCCCAGCCGCTCGCAGCCACTCGCCCCCGCTCGGATCCCTGCCCAACCCCAGGGAGGATCACAGGCAGTGTCGCCGTGGTCGAGGCCCTACGCCGGCGATGGTCGGCAGCGCGGTGATGGTCGGCACGGGCCAGGCCTTGGCTACCTTGGCTCTCTGGCTGCCGCACACGTGCTGCCAAGGGATAGCCGCCCTTCACAAAGCGGTGTACTAGGGAAGTGCGCATGGCCTGCTGGCACTTCGTGGACTCCACCGCGGCATCATAGGTGATGATCCTTGAGGGTGGAAGGGGTGCAAGTAAATTCCTGACTACCTCCGACCCTTCACGATACATGCAAAGCAAGGCTCCAGACCAGCCTGTCCGAAGCAGGTCCAGCGCAAGAACAGGACCCATTAGCCCACGTTTGCCCCTAGAGCAGGTTTGATTCTTTCCCTTATGGTGCGCGATGGTGAAACGGGTGCAAGTAAATTCCTGGCTACCTCCGACCCTTTGAGATACATGCAAAGCAAGGCTCCAGGCCAGCCTGTCCGAACTCCTCGAGCGCAAGAACAGGACCCATCAACCCGCGTTTGCCCCTAGATCAGGTTCGTTTCTTTCCTTTATGTTGTGCGATGGGAATTTGTGATCGAGTTGTGGTCCATTGTTTATTACTTGT